ATTAAAACGAGATAAATTTACCATATATATATATATATATGTATGTATATGTGTATGTATGTATTTATATATAAATCATCTCTGATCTCTCTGGCCCATTCTGCATCTGTGAAATTCACCTATGAGATTTTTCAATGGGCCTGAGGGGCTGATTTAGAGAAGGAGAGGGGGTCGTGATCCAGCACGATGTTTTGTCCCTCTCAGCCTCAGGGGAATGCAGTTGCTCTGGGTGGCCAACACAAACAGTGGGTTCTGCTGGGTAGTAGAAACTCTCACATACACATAAACACACTTCCTCAGTGTCAATTAGCCATTGTTTGGCCCCAGTCCATCCCCTTAGCCCCAGTAATCCTCACCTCTATGATAATAATCTCGCGCCATTATTAAGTACTTTAGGAACCAATTAAAACAACTCCAGGGATGAAAACAATGTATTGGTGTGTTTATGTTGTGGAAGATAGATCCAAAGATGGGACGCTATGGGCAGGGCAGGACTCGACCTAGGCTCCAGACAGCTTCTGACCCATTTTACAGAGGCTTTGGCTCTCTGTAAAATGGTAACCAATGCTGAAATGCTGCTGATGAGACTGATGCCATTAGTGATTCATTGCTCATGTGTCTCTTCATAGGATAACCATAAAAGAAGCTGATCTTTCCAATTCTAGGATGGAAAATTTGTGTTTAGCATAACAAAATTGTTAATAATGTTAATAATAGTTTAACTTGTTGTTTGCAGTATAAGGTGTCATTATAAATACAACAGCCCTGGTTTCCATTGTTTTTTTGTTAGAAATAAAATTAAAACTGTATTAGAGTTGATAGTAAATCAGTGCTTTTTCTTATTTCATATGCAAAGAAAGTGTTTACATAGAAATCCCAAAGGCACAGCCACAAAAAATTTATTGTTCTTTCAGGGTCACAGAGAGGGTGGAAATATTTTGGCAGATTTTATTATTTTTTTAATGAACATTAGAAGGCAAAGCCTTAATGGAAGAAAACTAAATGATAAACTTGTTAAACTATGTCAGAATTTTACTTTTGAATTTCCTCTGAAGTTAAATCACCTCAAACCAGATATGTTTTCTTCTTTTTGCAAAACAGGCCAAATTTTTCATGATTTTCATCACCTCTCAGAAACTCGGATGAATCAGGCCCCAGATTAAAACATTCCCCACAGAAAAAGCAGCTACAAACCCACAAATAAGGTCAATGAAAACAGCACCATCTGGCAGACAGCTTCTTCCTAATCTTGATGTCCCTCATTTTTTAAACTGTGGTGAGAGAAATGATTCCAGAGCAACAGGGGGTCTACAGAAGTTAAGAAACAGCAGGGAAGAGTCAGTTGTAGGATATTGGGCACGTTTGGGATTAGGGGAATTTCTGGGGACAAACTTTTTAGCTTTTTTTGTCCAAGAGATGTCTAAAAGATGTGATACGTGGTTGCAGAAGACAAAAGAAGAAGGAAATAGAGTTGTATTTACTGGAAACTTGAAGGGGATTTCCTTCTAGATCATGTTTTGACAGAGATGAGCCTTGATGTGCAGAGAAGCCCCTATACTGAAAGTTAGATCAGTGACTATGTCCATCTGACCTTCCCGCCCTGCATTCCTCCATCGTCACTGAACGACCACAACTCTGTAATTATTTACCCAAACTGAAATCCACACACACATGCACGGCTTTCTCTTCAGCATTGTCAAAAGATAAATTTTCATCTGCAAAATCCAGTAATTTCAATAGGAATCCACAATTTCGTGGAGGGCAAAAGATTAGGTCATGCAGATTTTGTTTAAGTTGCTCACACGGATTCGCCATGCTGACCAATAGAAAGAAACTTGGTTTAAAAGTGTCCTCTGTGTGAATTGTGCTTTATTAATCACTACACTATTGTCAATGGAAAACTGACCTTTTTGAAATGAAATTTGTGACCCTTATAAGGGGGTAAATTTATTTATTTTATTTTATTTTTAATTTATTCGTTTCAAGTATGATTTGCTGTTATGTTAATCTTTCAAACAAATTGGCTTCAACATTAAAGTGATATTATGTGTTCAAAAGTTCAAATGTGTAAGTATTCTGAAAGAAAAAAGGAGGGAAAGGCCTTAGCCTTATCCAGATAAGGGTATAAAAACTGAGAGTTGTGCCATTCTTAAGTCCCTGTTTCCCACTGATTCTGTGAACGTCTGTCTGTCCTAATTCGATCCCATTACACGCCTGCTCTCAATGGCATGTTTGCTCACAAAAACAGGTCTGCTGTTGTGATTGGCTGCTCTCAGTAAGGCATTTGGGGGTTGATTTGTCCTGATTTTTGTGGGACAAGTGAAGGACATATTTCTAGAACATTTTGCGATTCGTTCTTGCAATCGGGATGATTTTAAGTAAGTAGTACAAGATGCCAAAGGCCAGTGACTCCCTCTGATGCTCACGGGACTCTGATATGAATATTCATTAGGGTCTCTTGAGGGGCCCCGGTGACTCAATATGAATTCACTCTTTCACACAGATGAGCAGCTGTGTGATAACCACGCTAACATGGAGTGACGTTTGGGGCCACGCATAGGTTACACATTCATACAGCTTTGCTGTTGAATTTTTGCAGGCCATATAGAGGTACACATAGGCGGAGCGTGTGTAAGGCTTAGCCTTCCCCTGGCCACGGGGACTTCGGGCAAATATGCCACTAAATTGGACAAAAATGCCCCTGCATAAACAAATTAAATGTATTACATCTGTTGCTAAAAAAGTGAATATGAACAGACAGTGTCGATTGCGGCATTAAATTAAGATCTGCTTATGTTGCACCATATTTCATTTTAGGCGTTTTTACAGTGTTGCGCATTTTAACCAATCACACACATATCTGCTGAGCTTAGGAATGCAATAGCCAATCAGAGGCGCTCAGATGAGTCATCGTTTAAACTCATCAGTTTTGTTGAGTGTGCGCACATTCGCTGACTGAATTCTGGACTCTTGCGAATTCTCTCACCATAAACAAAGCGCAGATAGATGTACATACAATGTAAGTAAGATATTCATTTCACAGTGTATACAGCTTCAGTGATTATAACGATAGTTTTGTTTTTTTGAGAGTGCTTAAACTCGCGATAGACAGTGATAATGTCACTTTCTATATAGGCTATAATTTATTCGCTGTTTGAATAACCATGGAAAGGAAAAGTTATATAATTATCAATTTCTAACGTTTTTATTGTAATCACGTTAAATACAAATTCAGTCTCATTAAACATTTTTTTTTTTAGCCTACATGACGCCCATGTCTGGTTCTTGCCTAAAAAGAGGGGTTTATTATATTTAATACATTTGGCTGCTTTTAGCCTTACCCTGGAGTTGGTTCACCCTCCGCCTATACATAGTTATTTTGTTCTTTTTGTTTTATTTTTTATTTCAATTTTCTGTACTTCAAAACTTTATATTGCTCAACATTTTGCTATATATTGTGACATTGTTTTCTTTGTTTGTATTATCCTTGGTCACATGATTAGGTCAAATTATCCTTCTTGTTTATGATTAATACAGCTTTTATTAATTTTCTTCATGGCCCCGTCCTTCTAAAGTGTGTAAAACATAAATCACCTCATAAGGATGTATATAGAAATGTTAAAAGTTCTAGTTGAAGTGCGAGACCTCAGTGGCGCTCAGACCCTTTCAGTGCCAGACTGGATCCAGCGCCACTGTTTACCGGGTAGAGTTACTCCAGCGTTTTATTTTGAGGTTTGAGTTGCGGTAACAATCTTTTCCTCTCAGTTTGTGTGTTGAGGAGGTTCAGGCTCTGTTACAGCACCGTATCCGGTTTAACTGCGACCCACCTAGGATGGAAGTGTGGATCGGACTGACTGCTTTAACCCTGTGTTGATGGCTTTCCCTTTCTACCCACACCTCACACCAGTCATGTCACTACTGTAACCTACAGACATAAATCTCCAATGCAAAACTTCCCTCTGAAACACCCCCCTCTGAGAGGGAGCTGAGCCAGTGTAATGCCTGACACCCACAGACACTGGAATGTATGTGTGTGTGTGTGTGTGAGAGGGAGAATGTATATGTACACACTAAAGAAAGACAGGACTTCAGGTGCAAGTCACTTTTGCAAGTCACTTTTCTCATGTTAATTGAAAGACATACACTATACCGTTAAAACTGGTAAGATTTTCTTATTTTATTTTATTCAGCAAGGATACATTAAACTGATCAAAATTGACATTTCTATTTCAAATAAATGGTGTTCTTTTGATCTTTCTGTTCATCAAGCATCCTGAAAACAATGTATCACCGTTTTCACAAAAACATTCAGCACAACTGTTTTCAACATTTATTATAATAAGAAAAGTTTCTTGAACACCAAATCAGCATATCAGAATAATGTGACACTGAAAACTGGAGTAATGGCTGCTGAAAATTCAGCTTTGGTGGCACAGGAATAAAATATTTTAAGATATATTACAATAAAAAATGTATTTAAAATTTTAGTATTTTGTCAACAATATTTTACTGTTATTTTGATGAAATAAATACAGCCTTGGTGGGCAAAAGAGATTATTTTTTCACACATTTTTCATAAATATTAGATCAGAGCAAAGTTGCCACTGTCACTTGTTTTAACCGTTATACAATTTATAATTGTTTTCTATTTTTACAATTAGTTAACTGTTTGATTTGTGTTTCTCAAAAAAGTCTATAATAAGTTGTTTACTGGCCATGTTTCCACTGTGACAACATGCCCCACTAAAGGTCAACATGTTTCCTGGCCATTAATAGTGGAAATGTTCAATTTTCTTTTCTCTATCTATCTATCTACAATTCTTTCTTTCTTTTTGGTGCCAAGTATATATATATATATATATGTTAAAAATCATACAAATGTTATTTGTCATGTACCCAATTTCTGGAGACATCCCAATGCCAGTATTTCCTCTTATCAAATTGGAACAGATAGAGTGAGACAGAGAGAGAGAGAGAGCGAGAGAGAGAGCTGTGTTGTAGTGAGGCGAGGGTACCGTGCGGCTCTGCATTGCATTAGTGCTGGGAAGTTCACACAGCTGTTCTCGCTGTCATATTGCGCTGATTAGAGACGCGGGAAAACCTCAGAGAGCATGAGACCCTTCCGAGTGGATTCTGCGTCCGATTCAGCCTCGTGTCGGAGCGAAATATAAACATGCTTCGCTGTTCTTCTGCTGCAAGGTGACGCAGCGCCGCGTATCAGGTGGAGTGACGACAACTGCGGCACCAGAGCGAGTCCGACCGACCGAGCGGCGGATAACGGTCCTCTCAGAGGAAACCCGGGCGCGGCGCTGATATGTGTCACCGTTAACGATGACAACGAGGCGAAAGTCCAGCAAACTGCAGCTTCGGCGGTCAATCAGCGAGCAGCTGCGCGACTCCACCTCGAAAGCCTGGGATTTACTATGGAGAAACATACGAGAGAAGAGACTGGCAGGTCAGTGGCAGGACACGATTTAACTTTTATAAATAAACAACAATGCATCGTTTATTTAATGATATTCCTTCTGCCATACGGGCCTCGGGAAGGTCAAGTTTTTATTTCATGGTCAATTTTTGTCCTTGTGACTGAGATGGATTTGAATAAACTTGCATGTGATGAATGCTTGTGCTGTCTATAAATAATTAAAATCAACATTGACATTGCGCTCCGCCGGGTCTGTTGTGCGCGTGAAGCCGCAGTTGCTCTGTAATGCCATTAGCTGATGTCTGCTGCCTCTCAACTCGATTAAATGCGCTGCATTCCTGCACAAAAACTAATCAGGACACTCGATCCATGTCACGTTTTTCACCTATTTTAAATATTCTGCACACTCAGAAGTGGTATGCTGTGGCGTATTATGTTTTTTTTTCTGTGTATTTTAGGAATTTCAATGTTTCTGTTTGTTCTCCTTCTATCGTATAGCCTAGTTGAATATGTTGGTAGTATAATATAGTTCTCAACAATTTTAACATTTGTATATACAGTAGCAGTACAGTATAGTTTTCATACATGCTCAAAAACTAACTCGGTCTCGTTTTACACCTATGTTATTGCCCTCCAAAGTCTTTCATCAGCTTTATCAGTGTAGGACATTTCCAAGATAATTCTTTTTACCTGAGCTTCAAGTTAAACAGTGTTAAGAGTATAATATAATAACAGTTTGTTCAGGATGTTGGGTAACACAGGTTAAAATGCTGAAAATATAGCAAAATATTTCAGAAAAAAAGCTAAATTAAAACTGAACTTGACATCCAGCAACCTTGCAGTTTTGTTGTATTGAAAAGAGCAGCTTTGACACTTTGTTCCACATTGAAGAAGTCATCTGAGTTTTGAGCATCCTGAGGATAGAGCTATTGAGATCTTTGCAGGTTAAGAGGTTAAAAGCAAATCATTTATGAAAGATGTAATTGTTGGATTGTGAATGACATGAATGAGTGATTTCTTTCAAACACCCTTTTCTTTACTTACAATTGTCATGCAGCATTTAAAGGTACCTTTTTTTGGAAATTGCATTTAAATCCACTTGGTTCAAAAGTCTGAGGGGGCATGTTGTGAATAGTATATTATAGTATTTTACTGACCTATATTGAGCTTAAGAATCTTTCTATGGATGCCTTGGGGAATAATGTAATTCAGTCCATTATAACATGAATGGCAGGGCTCCGCATACTCCTTTGTGGCTTTTAGTGAGGAAGTGACAGGAAAAGTTCATTTAAAAGCAATCTGGACTCATCGAGTGCTGTACAGACACTCCTCTCTTTCCTTCAACGCACTAACCTCATTCTTCTCTTTTTAACCCAGGGATTCATTTCTGCTCCAGCACTCAGACCTTTTATCCTTTGGGTAAACATAGCATATAAAGATGTATATATTAAAACCACAGTGTTTTGTAGCTGTGTGGAGTTTAGTGGATATTGAACTTGTCGACTCTCGTTACTGACAAAACGTGGGATTACTGTAAGCAGTGTCTCCCCGATTTAGACCATGAACAACTCGCCTCTGGTTGACCTGCGCTGGATTTAGCTCATAAGTGAATGCCCATAATGACACAGGTTTGTTGTCATGGATCAAGTTCATGTTTAGGTAATTTTGGCACAGCCCTTATGTGGTTGTCTTGGCTGGACTGAATTCTGTATTGGTTATGCAGCCTGAAGGAAGTCCTCAGCTGAACTGAGTGAATTATGAATGACTTTTTCAAAACTAATTGCATTCCATGACCACCAGATGGCAGACATTGTCAGGTTCTTCTCAGTAAGCTTTAACAGCATCTTTCTACACTTGACCATGCATGGTTCATACACTAAAAGGGAGAAAACCTACACATTGCTTGCATACAAAAGAAATGTGCCAATTTTTCTTTGATTTTTCACAGTTCAGTAGAAGTGTTTGGCCAGGTCTGGAACTGTTAGCTTCTACAAGCTCCACATGATGCTGTGTTTCTTCTTAGTGTGGAGTTCACAAGAACAAGGTCTTTTCTGAGCCCTCAGCAATTTACAGAGGTGCTTAAAGATGGCTAACACCACTCATTTTCTTTTCGTTCCAATACCAAGTTCTATCATGGCCAATCACCCAAGACCAACCAAATGTGAGCCGTCACGGTGGCCAAAAATCTTGGTTTCTTGACTTCTTCAACCTTACTTTTGAGAACAGTTATCGTGCTTACTACCACAATCTGTAGTATTTCTTTCTGTTTGCTGTGCATATTATTCTAGACGATTTTGATTTGAAATATTTAGCAGATGTAACTGAGATCTCTGAGGATATTGCTGTTGTTTCTGACAGCTGTAAAATCTCTCTCCTTCCCACTGCAATTCACTTTTAAGATTTTTTTATAGCATATGGTATGTTGGATGGTGTTTTTTTTCCCCAGGTGCACCATTCTTTTTTCTTTTTTTTTTTTTGGCTGATACATCCACATACACACACATACCCAGACTGTACTTGAGAAACACTCTAAAATCACTCTGAAGCAGGTTTTTGGTTCAGTTGGCTGCACAGTGCTTTCTATCCTCGCAACCCTATTGGCTCCTCTCGCAGTCACACGACCATTAAGTGGGTGGTGCAGATGAAAGTGTGCTCTCCGATCAGAACGGACTTCATGCTTAGGTGTGTTTGGGTCTGTATATTTGTCAGTGTTCAGTGAGTATATGACAAAAGGAGCACGCTTTATAGTGTATTTCAGTGCATGTTTGACTCTGTGTGTGTGAAAGTTAAGGGAGTGATACTGTAAGTTTGAGGAATTGCTTTTTAGTGCCTCTGTACCTGTGGACAGTTGATAAGATGGACACAATGTTGACCGACCTCTCAGATGAGTCCATGGACAGCGAGTGTTTGGGAAGCATGACTCCAGAGACTCAAGATATATACCTCAGACTGGACAGCCACCGCAGGTGTTCTGGACTACGCCTGGCCCGTATCATTGCTAGGCAACAGCTGCTGAAGAAGATATCCCAAGGTATGAGAAGTGCTTTGGGTAACAGTTTGGACTCATCTTTCTTAGCATCTTCGTTATTATTTCTATATATATCAGCAGTGTATTGTAAATTTGTCTGAAATGTTTCTCTTAAAATTCATTAGGAGCAATAAAATTAGAAGAAGAAGAATATAAAGTCATAAACTGAATTGAAGAACATAGCCCAGTTAGTTTAGATTTGGATAAAAATGATAAAAATGTGAGTTTATATTGAAATCTGTGACTTTTGATTGCAAACTTTAGTATATTACCAAATTTGAGCACAGTTTGAGATGTTGTTGAGATCTTTGATTATTTTCTTTTTTTTAAGGAGAAAAATCTGTATCAGAATGTATCCCTTTGCTCTCCATTTATTGTCATTGCTGTCTCGTAAAAGAACTGAGATATTAAAGTGATTCCATATGACGTTATTCATTCCTTGTTTTTGAAATGTCAGTGAACTTTATGATACCTTCAAGCCAGACATGATGCAGAGACATTATTAAGTGTTACAAAAGATGTGCCTGTTTTATTTTTTGGTCTTCTTTGTGTAAATATGAAGCACTTGGTTTGTTCTTAGCTTTGACGTGCTAAGCTGATCTTCTGTTTTCGATGGGAATACAGTCTACAAGACAAAGTTTACTTGTGTTTTCTAGATGTAAAGAGTCTGTGTGTTTCTGGCACTAGAGAACAGCCTGTCCAAATCCAAAGTATTATCCACAAATCAACAGCATTATTAATGAATAACCCTTTTATACTTCAAGCGTATGATAGTGCATCACATTTGTTGTTTGGTGGTTTGTTTTGGTTTGTCTGAAGAAGTATTACGAAGAAGCATACAGTATATAAAGTACAAATATGATTTGTTAAATATGTTTGTAATAATACTGCTGATGTTTAGCTTTGCTTTGACAGTGAAATGCTTTAGAGGTCAATAGAAATGCAGTGTGTGGCAGCTTTAGTTTTGGTTGGAATCTGCTCACGCACACACACACACACTTTCTCTCTCTCTTTCACGGCAGCAGGAATGTTTGGACTGCATGCCGGTTATTCTGTCATTCGGCTCGTGGAGGTCTGGACGGCTGGAGATCTCTTGTGAAATTACAGGCTTGTCCAATCATGACTATGGCATGTGGACGCATATCATGCTGAAGGATATATTCACCTCTATCTGCGGAGACAAGATAATTTATTTAAAATGATATCCCACACTTAAGATAGTTTGACCCCCACTGCACTGAGGCTACTGGGAGTTTTTTCATCAATTAGACATTTATTTCATTTCTTAAATGGTGAGACCCAAAAGTGCAGGAAATTAAATTCTTAAGAGGTAGATTCCCTCTGACTTTGTTTTAAATCTTAACCTTCTTCTGCCTGACTGCAGACTAAGTGTTAGCAGCTATACAGAGTCGAGTCCAAGAATACCCAATTCCATCAAAAACTGGGCCTTGTGCCTGTCATCAGCAGCACTTTGATAAAGCAGGTCTGCCACTGTGAAATGTTTTGAGCTAAATGTGGACTGAAGGCAGTGCCATAATAAGACTGAAATATGAGCATCTTAATTTGAGTCCACTTAATTGTGTCTTGCACTTTCTTCAGTGTATCATAAATATGTGTTTGGAGGGGTCTTTCGTCAGGGAGAGATCAATTTCAATTCTCATTCACAAGCTCTCTATTTGATTTGAATCAGATTTACAAGCTCTCAGTTCAATTTAATTTGAATTTGAATCACAAGCTCTTGATTTTATTCCACTTGACAAGCTTTGAATTCACAAGCTCTCTATTTGATTTGATTTCAATTCACTTGCTGTCTATTTGATTTGAATCTGATTTGGTTCCGGTTCTCATTGACTCTCTATTCTTATTCACCAGCTCTCAATTTGATTTGATTTGGGTATATTTTAGTTAGAATGTTAAATTTGCTCTCTCTACTTATGCTATAGAATATACAGAGCAGTGTTTCAGACTGATTCAAACCTTTTTGAAGTATTCATTAAAAGAA